TGCTTGCCTGAAGTGAATGGAGGAAACTTGCTTGAGTGAAAAAGAAGACGGTGCGTGCCACATAAGCCCATATACTGTCGATTCACAGCTTTCTAATAATCCTAATAAATTTGGTTATCTTTGTAATACAGAAGTATGAGGATGCATAATGAAGGAACAAAAATATTACCGCTTGCTAAAGTTGAAAAGCTCTGTCTCTAGTTCCAATGGGAACACTGATATGCTAATAGCTTCACTCAGATTCTGTGCTGCCCAAGTTCTTTCTTTCCTACTATGCAATTAAAATTTAAGCTAATTATTGAAGCCGAGAATGACAGCCTAGTGATTAGGTTACTGTCTTTCCTGGTAATAAACTAGGGTTCGATTCCTACCAGGGGTTGTAAGGGGGGTTTTACCCACATTTAAGTGGGGTCCACTGGGGTGAATTTTTATTTTTTATTTTCTAAAAAAGCTAATTATTGAAGTCTGTCCTATGCATCGAAACAAACTACGAAGAGATAACTCAAGGCTTCTACAAGCAATTGACAAAAAAAGCATGAAAATTAACATGGAGAGACTCTCAAATGAACTACATATTTAATTGCACTTCAATCAGAATAAAAATTAATAAAAATCAACTTAAAACTAAGCAGAAACATAGCGGCAGCAGATCTCCGATGACAAGGCTCCACCACCACCACCGGCTGTCAATGCTCCACCACCACTTGCTATGAGGAAAACAAACACCAGAAAGTCCAATTAGAGATGGGATCTTGAAGGCTTCGAGTTGTCAGCTGCATTGAATTTCTCGCTGGCAGTTAGGAAATTGTTTTTCTATAACCCTAATACAAATCAGGATGGAATTCCAACTCGCCGACAATCATAACCACCAACACCTCAGCCGCACGATCAACTTCGAATCCAAAGTCTGGATTTTGATTTGGATGTCATGGGAAGCCGTGGAACTGACTCGGTCGTGGCGGATGGAGAGGGCGATGACAGTGGTAATAATGATTGTAAAAATTTATTTTATTTTTGTAGGCTCTTTTAAAGCTTAAAACTCAAAACGACTTTTTTTGGAAGGCAAGGATTTTTTCCAAAAGTTTTACGGATTTTATGTCCAAAAAATAACATTATCCAAAACGACGTCATTTTGTAGGTTGGGGATTTTTTTTTCCCAAAATCCAACGGAATTTTTAAATTGAGATTTATGAAATCCTGTTTATACCCCTAATAAGTCGCTGACGTCATATCCAACCCATCCGAGGGACGAGATCGCTTTGAAGGTGGCCCTGAATATTTCTTGGACATTTAATTTCTTGCCTACTGTGTCTTTATATTAAGTACTAGGCTTTTCTCGTCGAGCGTTGCGCGACAAGTGCTTCGATTAACTTTTATATTTCCTCGTTTTTGAGAAAGTTATTTATAGTTACACATTTTGTAATTAGAAGCTTTTTTTTTTTTTCTATACAATTTCAAGTCCGCATATGAAGTCAATATCGGCCACTGATAAAGAAACAATTTGCTTCAGTACTTGATGGGAACTAACTAACCAAAATCTTCTTTGGTTTGCCTCATCTATAGTACTCTCAAGAACAAAACTCACCTTAACGGAAGAACAAAATCTTTCTGAATCAATTCCTCCAAAAAAACAAACTGAAGGAATGACCAAAATAACTCCAATGAAGAATAAAAAATAAAAAATAAAAATTGTTTACCATCAATTACGCACAGTAAATAGTAATCAATTCCCTTATGTATTAATCGATTCCCTTGCCACTCCCCTCTGCCTCTCTGCCACGAATTCACTTTTGTTTATCGTTAATGTGCTACTTCCTTCAATTGGAGGAAGCCAAAAAAGTGACGGGGGAATAGAGTTGTGGGTTTTGCTTAGAAAATGAGCACAAAAACGTCAGTATTCAAAGCCAAAATGCAAATAAAACATAGTTGTATGAAGCTGAATCTCAAATAACCCATAAGATCAAGTTGTAGACAACAAAATTCATATTCACTCGATTAAAAAAGAAACTCGATAATTATAATTTCGCGCGAAGGATAATACAAAGCTAACAACTTGTAATAATACTTGCAACTTCAGACACAGCTAGCTGACGAAAAAGCAGAAGATCATCAATATCTCAAATATCTCAAATCCAATTCCTTTGTTAGCCCATAAAAAAGTACTGGTTGATCTAACGCATAACCCAACTAACTATTACTGAACTTGGTACATGGTAGTATATCACCTTTTCTTGATATCTTCATTGCCCGATTCTTGCATATTAGTACCGAGAAGGCGAGAAATGATCTTTACAAGCATTTTTGCATATTACTAATTCCTCAGGCCAGTTCTTCAATCGCAACAAACTAATTTCGATTCTACTAGAAGTAAAAAACAATCACCATCTGAAGATTGGTAAGTATGGGAATTAAAACCATAGAAATCCACCAGTCGAAAGTGCCAGGACTTTCAAGGATACCGGCGCATCATCAACAAAGCGGGAGCATCAGGCAAGAAAGGGGACCTTGGCTAGGCCAGAAATGTGGAAAGGAATCTTTCCGTAGGATTTTCTTTCCAAACTGGTGCTTGGTCTTCTCAGTGGTGGCTCTTTGATTTCCTGCTTGTCCCGCTTGGTGTACTGATTTGATTCCTAGCACGAGGTAAGCCCGGAGATGTCAGCGAATGCAAAAGCCAAGAAAAGAATGGAAGAAAGAGCAAGTGCAGGTGAAAACTCTTGCAATGAAGAAATCCAATAGTAACATGCTCCTGAAACAAAATCAGTCTCTATAAAGTTGACAGAGATGACAAGGAGACCATACCTCCAATTCTTCAAAATCAATATATGGTTGTGAAGTTGGATGAGTAGAAGGCATTAAGCCAGCGTATTGAATCTGACCTTTAAAATCATAGCTTCCGGGACATCTCTGCACATATTTTCACCTGCAGAGGAGCAAAAGAACTCCATCTGAGTAAGCTACATAGCTATGATTCATGCATCAAATCCTTATACTTAATATAAAGGCACAGTAGGCAAGAAATTAACCCATCTGGTATTGTCTGAATACAACAAATTTACTCCATCTGGTATTGTCTGAACACAACAAATTTACTCCATCTGATATTGTCTGAATACAAGAAATTTACACAAACTAAGAAAAATGTAGAGAAGAAAATTGCTATGTAGTCAAACAAGAGAAAAGTTCTAAAGTTTTATACCTAAATCCAATAACCAAAAGACACCGTCTCATCCTTATTAATTTCAGTTGAAAGACTTTTTTTTTTTGTGATAAAGCTTACAAAAGCAGAAGCAAAAAAATCACTTCAGACGATTTGCTTCAACACAACAAAATCAATTTCCCTAACTCTTAGTCAAAACTGAACTAAAAAGGCTACACAAAATTTTCAAAATCAAAATTTTCAACTGGGCCCTTTCAGAGTGGTGGATGGTTGAGCTCACTGTTATGCTAGAAATTTTTGACATTCTTATTAGAGAGCACTGGTTCAGATGCTATCCTTTTTTGGTCGATGCTTACATTTCAAGCCTTGTAATCTTTGCAAATCCTATCTATTGCAACCAAAATTTGAGGACAAAAACTGGCCATAAAGACTTCCAAGTTTCTAATAGACACCATAAAGAAATAAGTAACAAATGAATTCTGCCCTAAATGTTAGGCCAATGAGCACACGAGAGAAAACATGATATAACCATATAAGCTACTCAATAGCCAAATAATTTGTCTTTGTAGTTCATAATCAAACAATATAACTTAATGAGAACACTCACTCAGACCATTCATTCACTTAAACAACCAAATCCTAAGGAGATCGAACATGTTTCTTGCTCAGCTGCAATCTTAGTTTCTAACACAAAATTCATTCCAAAGTGATCAGCAAATTGTAGTCTTTACTCTTTAGCTGCATTTTTATCCACCGTAGCTCTCAAAGTCTATGACACTCAGATTGTACAAGTATTCTCAACATTTATACACAATTAAGCTGTGACTACTTGAATTGCCAATTTAGACATCCCAGACCTTAAAGGACTACACCAACTTCCATTCAATACTTCTGTTTTGAGCTAACCAGTGAAGATCATATGCAATTTAGATAATTCTTGAACAAAACAAATCAATTAAGGAAAGTTTTTCTGAGCCTCTCTGTAGTTTCAGTGATCTAACAATAGGTAATAACATTGTGAAAGTTGGAAGAAATATGCAGTGCGAAGGGAGGAACATTCAGAAAGGATATGCAAACCTTTTCAATATGCTGGCGTCTGTAGACGTTGCCACAAAGACTTCCAGGATTACAATAAGCATTGAAATTCCAAAGGGAAGTAAAATCAGTTGTACAAAGAAATCCATAATCAAAATTCTATTGAGGAAGAACAGACCACATAATTGCATAGAATGGAATCGAGATTCATAAAAGCATGGAATCGAGATTAAGTTGAGCAAAACCAAATGCATGCAAAATCGATCAACAACATAAAACTCATAGCAGGTTAGAATACTCAATTATGTATACGCAATGCACACCAACAATAATCCTAAATTTATTAAAATATGGAGAGAAAATATAGTGATGCAGAAAAAAAAATAATTGAAGCTACAGTAGTTAATTGATGCTACGCAGGTATAGTGAATAGTTGCCGAGAGTTGCTAAATTATTCTACCAAAAATAGTTGCGAAGGAGGATAAATTTACTTGTTACGAGCCGGGAGTTGTAAAGCTGTAAAGAGAGGTTGTCCAGGAGTTACAAAGCTGTAAAGGGAGTTTGTCGTGGTTTTATTTTGGGGGATTTCTGGGGTTTTTATAGAACGGATGTCGACTTTGAGATTGTAATCCAATTGGGCTTACAATTCACTTATAAATCGACTTTGCAATTGGTAACTTTCTTTTTTTTTGGTGATTTCCTAATGGTATTCGAAGTTGGAAATCGGATATTGTTTCTCGTTGGCCCAAAAAAAAATCCACGGCCCAAGGCCATGGTGTCGGTGGAGAAGCAACCGGCGGTGTTGTGGTCACGGTGGGAACGAGGCGATTGGTTGATTTCCCTCGGAGGGAGCAGAGAAAAAAGTTGGGAGAAGGTAATTCTGAGAACGAGGAGGCTGGTGAAGATGAATTGACGATGTTGTGGGCTGGAATAAATAGACGGCCCAACCAATTAATCCTTTTGTCATTCCCACCGGCGGAGCTTCACTCTTTTGTCCTACCTTGCAGAGCCGACGTCGTCTCTGGACAATTGAATAATGGCGGAGACTGGCAGAAAGAGTAACGGTGGTTGGGGGGAAATTGCAGAGTGGAGCCAATGTCGTCTCTGGACAATTGAATAACGGCGGAGGCTGGCAAAGGGAGTAACGGCAACTGGGGGGAAATAGGGAGGACGACTTTAAAAAAAATTAATTGGATAGAGACGTTTGGAACTTGGTATTAGGTCGAAGAGGTTAATCGGATGGAGCAGTGTAGGCGGAGCATGAGAGGAGACTAGGTTTTTCTTTTTTGGGGGAAGATGTGGTGGACGACAGGGGAGTGGGGAATTTTTTTTGTTAGACAGAAGGGTAATGCTGTAATTCTAGTTGGTAGTGGTACGACGTCATTTTTTTCCTTGGGGCTTTTTCCCTCAAAAGATTACGTTTTTTTTTTAAATTGGGGAGGATCTGATGAATTTATAAAAACCCGTTCTTGACCCTAATAAGCCGCTGACGTTGTATCGAGGCCATCCGATGGAATAGATCGCTTTGAAGGTGGCCCTGAATGTTTCTTGGGCATTTAATTTCTTGGCACTGAATATTTCGCTGAGTGTATTTTTTTTGTATTGGGAATACAAAAAGGTATATTGGAAATGTAAAAAGATGTATTGGAAATATAAAAAGGTATGCTGGGATGTGATAGATATTAATTAAAAATTCTGAAAAAATGAACGAAAAAACGAACCAAACAGTTCACTGAATTTTTGAAATTTCGCTTTTGCCCCTATAAGTGATTTGATATTGGCCGTTGGATCGTACCAATTTATGAATACCTGATAAGTCGATTTATGAAAATTAGTAAAAATTAGTAAGTAACTCAATTTATGAATTTTCACTTTTGCCCCTAATAAGTCGCTGTCATCATATCAACCCCATCCGAAGGACGAGATCACTTTGAAGGTGGCCCTGAATATTTCTTGGGTATTAAATTTCTTGCTTACTGTGCCTTTATATTAAGTATTAGTCTTTTGGTGTCGCGCGTTGCGCGACCAGTCTTTACTAATACATGTGTAATATAAATCGCAATTAAGAATATTTAGAAAAACATATTTCTGTGTTGGACTTAGTAATGTGTAATCGGGGAATATTAAATGTTATAAATATTTCGTGTATGTTTATAACAAAAAGAAACATTAATGTTTATTTTTAATAGGATGGGAATTAAACTAAAAAAATGTATTTGAGATATGCAGAGGAAAAAAAGAGGTATAAATTCAGTGTCAAACTGATCTCATGTTGGTCGCTTATTTGTTTGATTGGCGTAACTTCAGTGTTGTTGTCCTCAGGTACTTCATCTACGAGTTGGTCATCAGCAATGGCGTCACAAAAGAATCGTCATCCTCAATTAAATTGTTGACGTAGTAATCTCGAAGCCCCATGTACATTCTTTTTTATCCTCTCAGCTGCAATAGAATTGTTTTTTTTCTAATAGTTTATGTATTTCTTTAAGGTTTATCTATTTAAAAAAAACAAACAAGATATTAAGGACGTGTCATTTATCAATGCATATATAAAGGAAAGAAACATTGGATTTTTGAAACATGCGGGTTTAGGAACTTGAATAGCTGAAATGAAGAATGTGCATACCTTTTTAGGGTTCTCGACGATTTCTGTTGCAGTGAAACCCAATATCTTTTCTGTGATGCTACTGAAAATGCTAGCTTGGATTGATCCGCTCTCATCATGAATGTTAGCTCTTAGACGACACCTAGAATGACAATAGTAAGATTTAGGAATATTTCGAAATCATCTAATCGGCTAAAATGTCAATGTAATATTTCTAAATTTCCATATGTTTCAGAACTGTATCTTAAGAAATTGAAATTGACATACTTTGGGTTGGTTGCAGATTGCTTTAATGACCACTTGTTGCATTTGAAATCTTGTTGATAGATTGATGATGTTCCAATGTCACATTCCTTGCAAGCCATGTAGTAGAATGGTTGTGGTATGTCTCTGAACTCAATGTGGACTTTGACTAAGATATCCTAATTTTTTTGGGCAAAATTTAAAGTTTCGTTAATTTGAATGAAGAAATATGAGAAGAACTAAAGCACGTTGCATAAAGAGTATTAGGAACCAAGCGTGTTAACCTGTTGTTCATCATCGATATGTGTGACTGGAGTGATTTGTGAAAGGTTTTTGTGACTGATGCCAGGAGTAGACGAGAATGATGGTTTATTCTGCAAGAAAAAATCGATTTCCTTCCTGTTTTATTGTGACCTGAAAAAGTTAAAAAGGTAATTAATATGCTGTAAAATTTTGTAAAAGTTGGTGTAGAAAAATAAAAATATATACCAGTTCCTCAATTTCCTTGCTTTGTCAGAAGGAGGATTGATCAAAACCACCGATCTATGTGAAGTTGTTACCTCAATTCCTGATTAATATGAGAATGAAACTATCAGAGAACAAGTGTGCAGAAAAAGTATGGTTGAGGAGTCTGTTTTAAAAGGGCTTATTAGTGTACCGTTGTATGCAGAGATAAGCATTCGGCGGCAAACGACGGTTGGGTAACTCTTAGCTCGAACTTGTTTAGTTAATAATATTCCAACATCCTGGTGGAATTCTTCCCAAAGTGACAATCTCACATATTTGCAACCTGATTGAGAAGGCAGTACCAAAATTAAGTGTTAGCTACTTTACCAAAATATCATGATTAAATTCCGTAAACTAAAACAAAGAGCTGTATTCCGAATTAAATATCTAGCAAACCTTTTGCTACCGTTTCAGGAAATGAGATGCAACATACAAGTGTAACAATAGTACATGAAAACAATCACAAAAGGACAACAATAATTAGATTATCAAAATAGAAAGCATCTCATAAAATTATAGGAGTATCGTCCTTGTAATTCTGATGGGAACTTCACGGAAAATAAAATTGGCATTTCGAAAAGCATTGTGTAAATAATTCAAAAAATATGATATTGAACTTACTTTTCATTTAGCTTACAGAATTTGTGGACCATTCTTTTTTTTCCCTTTTCCTGTCGTAACAGTTTGCACGTAGCGTCTCTCGACTATGACACCAATAGCATCTGTAAGAAAAAGGTTGTTTAAAAGAGTATAGATCAACATAAGTTTTCTATTTGATAAGAATGTTTAAGTAAACCAAATACACTTCCCAACAAAACCATCTTGAACACCAGTAAAATCATTAAGGGAATCAAAGGGTGTGTATTGCTCCTTGGTCACAAGAATAGTAATAGGTTCGTTAACCTCTTCAACAACCGTCCCAATACCAATGACCCATTGTTTGGAAAGACCACGAGACCTATACTCTGGTTTAATGTACCGGATAGGTGCGTTAGAGACTCGGTATTTTCTACACGTCTGGAATCGTGGTCCCATGATGCTGACGGCTTGTCCGAACAAAATACCTTCTACTTTAGCACCCTACAATAATAAATCAAATATTAATATTATGAATATGTGAGGTGAAAATTAGTATGACAACTAACAAATATAGATAATGTAATTCACCATTTCATCACTGAATACCATCTTTTGGGTTTTAGTATAGTGGCTGAATGGATTTTGTTTCTCCTTGACATTGACAATAGCAGTCCAAGGCTGATCAGAGTCATTGAGCTTGTCAATTTCAACCTTGTTTGAAATCATCTTTGGTGCACAAGGAGCCATTCTAAAAAAATTTGCAGGAAGAAAAAAAAAGGTATGTATAATAACCAAGAATTTTTGGGATGCCGTAATTGGAAATCCGATTGGGATGCCATTCTATTTATGAGGGTTGCTGTTGTATTTATAGAGCGGATGCCGTCATGGTGTTTGTAATCCGATAAATTAGGGGACGAATAAGAATTTGAAATTTTGCCTATTTTTTGGGTTATTTCCTACCGTAATTGAATTTGTAATTCGATTCGGATTGTAAAAGAAGGGAACGAATCTGAATTGGGAATTTTTCTATTTTTGCTGATTTCCTAATCCAATTTGAAGAAGAAGAACGGAAATCGTTGCTTGGTGGCCCAAATTAACTACACAGCCCAATGTCATGTTCAGAATATTGGTAGGAACGCCGTCAGCGGTGCGATAGTTTTGGTCGATAAACTGCAGCTGGAAATGGAGAAGCAGAGAGTCAGATTCTGCCGGAAATGTAGAGGACAATCTATTAGACTGTGGGGGCTGGAGGAAGAAGCAGTGAAGGAAGAATTTTTTTGATGGAGGGTGGCGGAGGGAGAATGTGCAAAGGTGGGTGCTGGAGGGAGTAGCGGCAAAGGGGGTTGTTAAAAATTGTTGAGTACGACAGAAAGCAGGACGAGGTCATTTTTTTGCGTTTGGGTTTCCTTTTTTTTTTGCGTTTGGGGTTTTTTTTAAAATAATTCAATACATTACGGATTGTAAATTATTTGGATGATTTAAATGCGTAATTTGACAATTTTAACCCTAATAAGTCGCTGACATCATATCTGTCCAATCCGTCAGACAAGATCGATTTGACGGTGGTCCTTCAATATTTCTTGGCTACTGTGCCTTTTATTTAAGTACTAGTCTTTTACCTGTCATGCGTTGCGTGACCAGTGTTTTTATCAAATCATTTTATACAATTCTCGTTATTAAAAGTAATAAGTTACGGTGAATTTAAATTAAATATAATATTTAAAAAATCTTAAAATGTTTGTCTAAGTAAATGCATACATATGTCAAACTTTTTACCTAATGGACTTCCAAAAACGAAAAATGAAATCATTCGATTACAAATGAAATAGATCATTGTGTGAGTAAAAATCCAATGTAATAGACATATCATGTTTGAAAACTCTTCCATTGGGCAAACATGATAAAATTGTGTACATGGACATTCTATTTATAATTTGTGATATTAATTTCAATTTTCATAAAAGTATGTTTTAAATTTTTATTTTGGTGTTGTAAAAATGATCAAAACCAAATACTATGATTTTGGTTTTGTTTTGGGTTACAATTTTGATTTTGGTGTCGTTGATATTTTACTCTATATTTATTTGTACTTTATCATGTGATATGACAAATGAATGATCATGTAACTAACAATTTAATACTTGACAATTGTGAAACAAAATCAAAATAATTTTGTGATTATGTTGTCTATATTATACGTATTTTGATTTATGTTTGTACCAAAATAATTAGCTAGGGTGAAGTAGTTCCCTCAACCTTGATTGATTTAGACTCCACAAATGTCTTTGCATCAGCGCATTGACATCAATTTCATTTCCCTTCTCTGCAGCAAGAGTCCTCTTCATTTTTTTTAATTTCTCCGACACCACTATTTTAACTCTATCGATGGAGTTCAGTAGTTTCTTCTGTGGTGTGAAACCTGATATCAACCAATATCTCCGGCATTGATATGGAAAGACTCCGGCTATAGCTTTTTTTACGCATGAAATATATATCTCAAACAAACAGTCTATTTATATCTAATGCCGATTTCGCTAGCGTATTCGCACAGATGTTGCTAGCTCGAGAACTGTGTTCGAAGCGAATTTCCTAATTGAAAGACAAAAGTTCATGGATGTGCCTAAGGTCTAGATCCAGAAAAACTATAGAGTGTTGTTTCACTTTTTTGGAGTAGCTCTATAGCCACACTCGAATCGGATTCCACCAGCAACCGTAGGAATCACTGATTTTTAGAGTTTTCATAGCCAACAGAATGGCCCTGATTTCTGTAGTTTCAATTGAACATGTCCCTAATGGCATACAAGCAGCACTCAAAAATCTTCCTTTGTCATTTTTCATGATAACTCCTGTAGCTGCCTTTTGTGAATAATTATATACCGCACCATCGCAATAAGCCTTGACCCAAGCCGTTGGTGGTTTTTTGCAGTTGGGACACTCCTTTTGCTTCCTTCCCTCCTTTTTCCACCTAAGGATAGTTCTGTTCCTTCTGATTTCATCCGTACGGTATGAAGCAATTCTCACTGCCTTTTCTGTTGTCCCAAACTTGATTCTCCAGTTCCAATCATCATCATCCAAATTCAAACGCAACCATTCTTTTAACTCCTGCTGATGAGCTTTTCAGTGATTGCAAAATCTTCCAAATTGAAGTTAAGAGGAAATCAGTCTCACCCCACCAAAGAAGCCATTTCCTTCAGAGCCCTCATATTCTTAAGAGGAAAATTGTGTTAGAATGCTTGTATATATTAACATTTTCCCATAATAACACTGCTACATAACAAATGAATATGCAAGTTTAGCCTTTTCATTCTAGAAATTACTCTTAAACTGTAGTGAAGCAAATTCAGTCATCAAAGTGTTCAAAAGGGAGCCTATGTAGCCTAACACACAAGATCAAATACATTGTAGATCAAGTGAATCAAGATAAATTTAAAATGCTTTTTTCAGATTCGTAAAGTAGTTTAAAAAGACATTTCATAGTACTCCATGATGCTTTTTACAGCTATGCTTTAAAGTTGCAGAGAGAGAATATTAATAATACTAATATTGCACGCTTTATCAACCAGTTTGGAGAACATCTAATAGGACGCATATTTGATATATGCCTAATTTGAAACTCCTAAGCTAACCAAATTCATGAACCAAAGAAACATGATATCCAAGCGGAGTCCTCAATTTTGAAGCTAAGGCTTCATCCAAATACTTCATTGGCTCAAAATTAGGGTTATATATGTTCACAAAATGAGGCTTTTATTTTTGAAAATAAATAATAAACAGAAGGCAAAAATAAATTTCAAAGAGACCTTGAGATGCATTCACACAGATACCATTTGATCAGTCGTTTATTTTCAGATCAATTATTTTATTTCCATTTTGGGGAGCACCAGCTTTGTCCGCAGCCTATTCTGCAACTTTTTTTGCACCAGTTCCCTGCCTGCCCAAACTCTTCCATTGTAACTCGAAGAGCGAGACAAGTTCGGGATCCAAATTAGAATCCACACCAAATTCAAACCAGATCCGACAAATGATGTAGCTATAACAGCAACAAAGTCGTTCCCACTCTTCCCATCATCATTAAAGATGGGAAAGCTGCAAACGAAGAAAAATGATCAATTCATTGATGCATGATTGAATTTTAATTTAGTAGAGGAGCACAAGAAACCTTGTAAGGACAATAGAAAGAACTGAGGTAGGAGAAACGCTCAATATCAGACCCTATACAACTTGAAAAGGTATGATGAATTTCAGCCCAAAAAAAAAAAGAAAAAGAAAAATGTATGATAAACTAATATACCTTCACAACCCTTTAAAAATTTTTCCACAACCCTTTCGCCTTTAGTTAAACACATAGAATTAATGTACTTCTCGCAACTACAAGTTAAAAGGGAAAAAGACAAGAGAATAACATAATACTTTTTTTAATCAGAACCCTTGGAAGGAATGGCAAATGCTAATTCTTCATCATCATCGTCGTCTAGGTCTTCGTCATTAATCCTTCGTATATATCCTTTGCTTGATCGCTGAGATTAAAATTTTTGAATCAGATAAAAAAAAAGTTTACCTCAAGAAACAGAATAAATTGAAACCAAAGGATAAGTAGGAAAATATAATGCTTACCTTAAATATGGATCTTATAATAGCTTCATCTTGTTCATTCAGCTTTCTTTCCTGTCAACATAAGCATGGTAATTACACGTCAAATCTCGTTTAGATTGAGAAACTTTATTCGGCTATATATGATAGAGAACTGAAAGCAAAGACATCCATGTTTCCCACTTAAGCATTACATATGTAGTATGTTATCCAATACTTAATGTGTATCTATATATAAGATTTGTAAGCAAATAACTAGGTCAAATTACACACACGAGTAAGTATCATAGATCAACACAATCTTTAAAGGTTCTGTGGAATGACTTTAATTGGAATAAGGGGCATTACAATAGGAACACTGAGCCACAATCAAAAAGAGACTTGATAGTATATCCATCCTATGTTCGAACAGGAATAAGTTTATCCATAACCCAATTTTGTGCCATGCCTACATGTTTAGACGCTTGCATGGTACATCAGATGCCCCATGACCAAACAATGTTGTTTCCCAGAAGAGGAATGCATGGTTGAACCTCAGGTTTCAAAACCATTGTAGTCCAAGTCCAATGATATTATAAAAGGAATGCATCGAGGAAATCAAAATAAACTTGCAAAAACCAGTTTCTTAATGTATTCTTTTAAGTAATATAGAACATAAGAACATATTGACAATAACATTAGTGTCATAAACATATTGCAATCATTTAGTAAATCTGAAGGATGTAAACGTAAAACCAGATAGATTTCAGAAATTTAATATTTAAATTAAAATGAGAAATTTTTTAAGATAGACAAATAGAATGCATTCAAGACTGAAAACACCAGCATCAACCTCGTAGCTTGCTCTCCTTCAAGTGTTGCAGAACATCAAGCATAGCCTCCATGCTGACAGTTGTTTGTCTTGACTTAAAATAAAAGAAGGAAAATACACAAGGAGAGAAAATGGTAGTAACCAGGTTTCAGGAACTAACACTAGCTGCTAGATTAACATCAGGTGGTCTAACGTATGAGATATACATAATTCAAGGTAGAATAATAAACACGTTGAATTAGCAGGACTAATCCAACTCAAAAGGAAGCAAAGGCAGCCTGCTTTCGATTCCAGCATAAATCCAACCATCTTACTTAAATTCTAAAATCAAGGAAAATCCCTTACAGTAAACGAAAATTATAGAGAACTAATCCAAACTTTTCACTACCCTTCAAAAACCCACATAGAAAATCTAATAATAGAGCTATTTAGAACCAGCCACTGCCGGCAGACACCAAAAAATCAAAATTCAATATTCCGGGGTAGAATAAAGGCACACAAGTTTGATAAAACTCACCTTTAAAGCGACCTAATCGGACAGATCAAAGTCAATCCAAGGTTCAAAATTCAGCAGAATGTTTAAATTTGTCCAAGAGGGATTAGAAAAGAGAAGTAAATAACGGAGATTGAATACAAATATGAGAGAAAGGAGGAATCGGGCAGGAGCTTGGGAGGTCAATATCATCAGAGATCTTGTCACAATAAACAAAAAAAAAAAAAAACTCAGACAAGTAAAGCGCTTATCTATCCCTTCTACATCGATCATAAAATAACCCACACGGCTACAACACAATACATCATGCAGAAGGAACAGTTATCCCAAATTCAACAAACTACAGGAAACTAATATTCAACGAGCTAAAATTCAATCTTTCTATAAAATACCTTAGAAGTGTGTCCTCAGTGCCCATAAACAAAGCCAGTATCTCTTAAGCCTCCGAAACTTGTCAGTGTATACCGATCACCTCTATTTTCTACTTTTACGCCGCTTGAGAACACCTCCAACGTGGACAGTGAAAATATCAGATTAAAAGCGGACAGGATTGAAAAAGGCAATGCAAAGCCTTCAAATTGTATCCCCTCCACCGAACGGCGAAGAGACCCCGAATTGGGAAAAATGGATACAATCCAATGTAAGCATAGTAATTATTAGGGAAAACAGATTTCGTAATTCGAAGGGCATACGAATTATAGTTGTAAGGGGAATAGGACATAGCATGGCAAATTTCCTAATTAATAATCGGTGATGACGGTGGAGGAGGTTAATTAATGAGAAAGTGTTTGTGGTGATGATTACGTTTTCTTTTTTTTGGGGAAAAATCGTAGGGAGAATGGACGACGTCGTTTCGTTGTTTAGGGGTTTTTCCCCTCAAAGGCTTATGGGTTTTTTTTTATTGGGATATGCGAAATTTATAAAATCTCGATTTTAACCTTAATAAGTCGCTGACGTTGACATCTATCCCATCCGACAGTCGAGATCGATTTGACGGTGGTGTTTGAATATTTCTTGGGTATTATTTCTTGCCCACTGTGCCTTGTATTTAAGTATAAGGATAAGGATAAGGATAACCAATCCGCCACTGCTTACCACCCCAAAAAAAAACCATTTGAACTCTAATTCATAATTTAGGAATCGAGTTATAAAAATACGGGTAAATTATTAGTTTAGTTGAATATTTAGGACTTAGGTGTAAATTGTTAAACGACAAATCAATTGACTCGATTTGACTTGGAAAGTCTATAAATTTCCCTCCGTCGAATCCATTCCTTTCCTCCTTCTTCTTCGTCTTTCCGGGCCTTCATCTCTGCAATTCTGTCTTTCAGACGAAGAAAAAACTTCATCAATTAGTGATTCATCTCCAAAGTTCGTTTTTCAACAGAATTGTTTATAGAAAATGAGAAAAGAAGTGAAAAACATTGACGGGAAGGATTCCAAAGGAGGAGGAGTTAGTGATGATGAAGAATCAAGAAAGTCTGGAATTGGGAAGGGTCAATCAGATTTTCAGAAGTGGGTAAAGTTCCTGTTACTAGCTAAACATATTGAACCAACAATAGGGTCAGAATATTCGAAGAACTCCCCTGTTCTTCGGGAAGCAGAGGGCTCTGATTTAGAAAAGGCTTCTACGTCTCAAGATAGGTGGAATCTTGACGGTCATTCAAAAGAAGTTGAAGGTAAAGAAATTTCGATTTCCCCTTTCATTTGGGTTTCTTTTATCGATTTTTTTCAGAGATTCAGGGATTGATTTGGGGTTTTTTTTTTCTGTTTTAATTTTGGTTTCAGGGCAATCAAAATGCAAGGAACCAGAGAAAGATTCCCTATGGTGCCCCGAATGCAAGATTGGGTTCCAGAATAGAATTATGAAAGAACTTCATCAAAAGGGTAAGCAGCACAAAATCGGAGTCAAGAAGCAAAAACTCCCCGGTTTAATTTGCAACACAAGATCAAAATTGAGAAAAGCTGTGAGCCACTCCAACAAATCCGAAGCCATGAAGGGTAAGGTGAGGGACGCGTTTGTAAGAGCCGAAATTCTGGAAAGCGGTATGATTACTTCAAGTTCAGGGGTAAAATCTGCTGAGATGCAGAAGGAGGGTCTTCTGAAGCTAAGTTCTGGAACAAATGGGTTAAAAACTGAAGTTAAGTCTGTTGAGATGCACCACGAGGCTTTTCATGGATGTCCTCCAAGGGGAAGTGTTGGAGTCAACGTCAAGAACGTTTCTGGGAAGGATATCAAGCATTTTCCTTTGGCATCCAGCTCCAAGGGTGACTCTGCAAAAGAAGCATCAAGCAGCCGGAGAACTGATGAGGACCCTGATTCCGTCTTGGATTTCCCAAAGTCTCCAAATGATGAGGCAGAAACCTCGACCAAGAGTGGCCGGGGATCTTGTAAGGAATCCGAGAAGAAGAATCCTTGTTTGAAGAATGATGATGCTGGAATGGGTGAGATGGTTACCCCCAAGTCCAACCCCATGGTTTATGAAACTTCCTCTGTTGACCCACTGATTGAAGGTTTTCCTGAGAGGGTATTGGATCAAACTGGAGTCACCGAGAGTGCTGTCGAGGAAGATCCAACTGCTGAAAGGGTTACCGACGAATCAGACAAGAAAGGATTCAAGTAAATCATCTTTCCGATGATGATTCTGTTGAGACTAGTTTCTACTATTTGTCAATTTACTTTCAATTTTTTTGTTCTGGAAAACTTAGGAGTTTTGGGTATTGTGATATAGTAATTTTAATCAGGGTTCTGTAGTGAGGAGAGTGGAGAGTAGTGGAGATGTTGATTGATCAATGATAAGTCATGATATGAACTGTGGAGAAGATCAATCCTCATTTCTGACCCCAGAATTCTGTATAGTTTGGTTGCAGTTCAGGTTTTGAGTACTCAATTTTGTAGGATTGCTGCATCAAGCTAATTGTTTGGGTGTTGATTTCTTTTGCCCAACTTAGGAGTTCTGCTTTCCTGTTTGTAGTAGAGCCAGTTTTTTGCAGGTTATTGTAAAATTTCAGAGATGTTATGTGAATAAAACAAAGCATCTTATAAATTGCGAAATTGGAAACAAAAACGTTTTCCTACATAGAATTGGGCTTCTTTGAAAGCTTACACCTTGGGGTTTTGCCAGGAGGAGATGGCTTAGTGAATATGGACCCTTATCTATTTGACCAAAATGAGTCCCTCTTTTGTTCTTCAATTTCATTCCAAATGACAAAATATTAATTTTGTTCTCCTTTGGTGCTCTAACCACAAACAACACTACTTGCAAATACACTAATCTCTACCGACTCTTCATCACCGTCTTCTCTCTTCATCATCATCATCCCGCTCATCGTCATCATCATCCTGCTGCTAATCCTCTTTCTGAAACATAAAGTAAATTCTAAGTTTCTAACTGCATATGCTAGCATGTGAGCAATTGCAGTCTCCTAAGGAGACTAAAAAAGTTGTTAAAAGAGTATCTGAACCTCACATTATTTCATTCAGTATGCTGATATCTATACTCAACTTCTTAATAAAAAGAAAGGCACTGGAATGTCAAGATAGTATTTGCACACCTCATCATCTCCTTCCTCAAAACCCTTTTCATCAGCATCCTAGAGCAAAATAAACACACAGTTCAGATTTACACTATGTGTCAAGTACAGGTTGACTTCATCCAAACATAAAGATAGACAAGCAACTTACAGTGCTGAATTAAGTAAGAGGATTCGGCCGCAAGTCATCCTTCATTATCTCAGCAATCTATCAAAATAGGTTGAAAATAAAAAGGTACATGAAGTGAATGTAACAATTGTGAACATAAAATTAATATTAGACACTCGTGTGAAAGGTGCAAGAACCTCATCATGAATTTCATCCAAATCCTCATCTTTTTGGTAGCTATCATCAAACCATGCAAAAAAGCAGCATCCAATTGTTGAAGAAAATCAGATGGGCAGACTTTAGTTAGTAATAGTATACAGACCAAAATCGGGGTTGGCCAAAACTGCCCGGATTGGCAGACAGAACCCAGAACAAGATTTTTGCTAACAACCAATGAACCATCGAAAAGATGAAGGGTTATAACTTAGATTCAATGGTAACTTCAGTTATCATTTAAAGAATGGCTTTGGTTAGATGTGGCTTGGCTGGTATACTAGTCTCAGGGGGTATGTTAAAATTAGTCTGGAACCATCCTACTTTTAGCAGTAGAATACATTTAAAGTACTTTCACTGAGACATAAGTATACAGAGCCATTTTCAAGTTGAATGAAAAAGTTTCATTGGATTAATGACCGTAAATTGTTATGTTATTTGGAGGCACTTCTTTGTCTTTTGACAAGTTCAGGTTCTTAAATTTAGTGCAACACAATGGGTAGTATCAACCACTTGCCTATCCTAACACACCGAATGGAAACAAGAACAGGTACATGTTTAAGACGAAACCAAACGGAAATGAACGTGAAAATTTACCTTAGCAAATTCAGCTCTCCACCTTATCCCCATTGCTGAGCCAGCCATCTTGCAAATTCTTATAAGGTGTGCCTAGCTGTAAAAAGTGACAGAAAAATGAGGAGTCCCTAAATAAACTGGTGCTGTTATGGAAACCATGATAAAGTATGCGAAACGAAGTGCATCGGAAGTTGCAAAATCATGCAAAAAAGGTGTATAGTGTCTTCCAGTTTCTCCAATATCAGAATGTAGGGATTTCAAGGAAAACCAAGAAAAGGAAATGAACATGCACACAATGCCGGCCTAAAAAACAGATTCTTTATAACTACTGTCTATAGAAAAGCTAAGAGCGCAACTTACCTAACTTATGCAGCTATTTGTGACGAGATACTCCAACTTCTATTGTGCTCGTCTTAGATGGATTTCATGATGAAAGCAATCTCAAGACTCATAAACTTCTGCAACATCTGTGCACTCTTGGAAGCACCATCTTCGCTACCACCTACAGCATGTTTCCCTTTACCTTTCCCACCAAAATCCTTTGGCTTTGAATCCTTCCCCATATCTGCCTACAGCATAGTACAGATACAGTGAGAACCTGGAGTCATGGAAAGGTCAAATTAAGGCACTTCAGCAACATATAGGTTATTATCTTGTTTCCGTGTAAAGGATATTAAAAAAACCAAGAACAGAAAGCTCTGGAAAAATGGAAGCGATTGTCAACAGAACAAGAAAATGGTAACAGTGACAGTAAGGCAAGAAAATCTACGACAGCCCTGTATTTCACTCCAACGAACAGAACAACTGGGTTGAACATTCAAAGCTCATGCACAGTAAGAAAAGAAGTCAAAACTCAAACCAAATTCAATTACTGTAGCTGGAAAGGACTGGAAGTCTAGGCTGTTCTGGTTAGATTGACAATATTGTAATATTTAGTATATTTCCTATTATGTCCTAGTTTAGGGTTTGTTATTGTCTATATATAGCCTGTATATTGTGCACAACACATCATGAATCTAATACAATTTCCCTATTCTAAGTTGGTATCGAGCTAGGTTACCCAATTTTTTTTTCCTTTCTTTTCTCTTCCCCCGCCGGTTTTTCTTTTCAGGCCGGCAGAAATCCATCCGCCGTAGTCGGTTTTTTTTTTTTTTTTTTCTCTCTTTTCTTAGCCGCCACACACCGGTTCTTAGCCGGCGTGCCCCTTCTTTTTCCCCGTTCCGTCGTCGGTCGCAATCCTCCGTGCTGCTGCCGTCGTCGTTCCTCACCTTCCTACTGCTGCCGCCGTTTTGTTTTTTTCTGCTGCTGCCGTCGTCGTCGTTCCAAACGCCAGCGTGCACCTTCTTCTCCTTCTTCCATTCTGTTGTTTTCTGCTGCCCGCCGCCACCATCCACCTGCTGTCGGGCGTGTGCTCCCTTTCTTCTCCTCCTTCTTCTTCTCCCCGTCGGTTGGTGCTGCTGCTGCCACTGCTTCTTCGTCGAATTTTTTTTGGTTTTTTTTCTTGCTGCTGCCGCCGGCCTGCTGCCGTTCTTCTTCGTCGGTGGTGCTTTGCCGGCATGCTTCTTCTTTGTCGGCGTGCAGATTCGTTTGCCGCCGCCACCTGCTGCACTTTGATTCTCGGCCAGTAAAAACAAAAAAAAAACAAAAACACAAAAAAAAAAAACAAAAAAAAAACAAAAAAAAAAAACAAATTGAGCCTTATTCGGTTTTGCGTGCTGTCTTTCGACGATGACTATCACCGACCTGTCATCCACCGACCAGGCTACCCACCTCCGGCCGGCGGCACCTCCTTCACAGACACCCGTATCACTTCTTCAACCTAGTCTACAGTCTCTTAATCATTCCTTTACTGTGAAGCTGCAATCTCGGGCCAACTATTCGTCTTGGCGTCTTTAGTTTACTCCTTTATTGACTATGTTTCGTGTTGCCGGTATTGTCGACGGCACCGAACCTGCACCGCCACGTTTTCTTCCTTCCGTTAGTGGTGCCGTGCCCCAACTCAATCCTAAGTTTGATATCTGGCAGCAAAAGGATCAGTTGGTCCTCTCTTGGATTCTTTCTTCCATTACTGAAGAGATCTTTCCCGTTCTCCAGGGCTGCACAACGTCGGCGGCTGCATGGACAGCTGTTCAGCAGGGTTTCGGCACTCTTTCTTATGCTCATCAGACCCAGCTTGTTATGGAACTCCACAGCTTGCAAAAAGGTGACTTGTCGGTCACGGCTCTCCTCTCAAAAGCGAAGGGCATCGCCGATACACTGCAGCTTGCCGGCCATCGCATATCTCCTGCGGAGTTTAATGCCATAATCTTCCGCAAGCTTGGTGCCGAATTCAATGGCATCATCGGAGCTCGCAACAGCCGATCCGAACCCCTCCTATCAAGATCTCCTTGGACAGTTAGTTTCGTATGAGGTGCTTCTTCACGCCCAACAATGGTCATTCAGCCCACGGCCATGCTTGTGCAGTCGCCACCTACTCCTACGCCGCCTCAATCCTCTCGTGCCGGCCGCCGCAACGCGGCGGCCGGCGCAATCAGTTTCTGGTCGTGGTGGTGGTCGGCGTGGGTACACCCCTCCCGCTCCGGGTGAGACGTGTCAGCTTTGCGGCATCTTGAATCACACAGCCGCCACTTGTCGACGCCGTTTTGATACTAATTTTGTTCCTCGACCCCCTGCCGCTCGGTCGGCTGCTTATGCCCAGGTAGGTTCTCCTGCACCACCTTCAGTTGGTTTGTTGCCTCTTCCGTCTTACCCGGAATCGACTATGTCTCCTCAAGCCCATATGGCGCAGTATGCCCTTTCTGTCACTCCCTGGCATCCGGACACTGGTGCTACCGATCATGTCACGCCAGATTTGTCCTCTCTCAGTATCTCAAATGATTATACTGGTACGGATCATATTTTAGTTGGTAATGGAGATGCTTTACCTATTCAGCATGTTGGTCAATCTGTTTTGCCATCGTTTTCTCGTCCTCTTTATTTAAATCGTGTCTTGCATGCTCCTTCTCTTACTAAGCCTCTGTTATCTGTTCAAAAGTTTACCCGTGATAATCACTGCTTTTTTGAATTTTATTCTGACTCATGTTGTGTTAAGGATCTTTCAACCAAGGAACTCCTCCTCCGCGGTCGGGCTGATAATGGTCTCTATCGCTTAGATCTTCTTGCTCGTGGTTCCTTGTCTCCAGCAGCTTATCTTGTCTCTTTAGGTCAGTGGCATGCTCGTTTAGGGCACCCTAATAATGTCACTCTTCGTACTTTGGTTAGGCAGTTTCAACTTCCTTATTCCTCTGTGTCCACGTCCACTGATAAATGTGAGACGTGTTGTTTAGGAAAGTTACATAGGGTCAGTT